CGATGAAGAGACCACGCGAGGGAGAGGCGGATGAACAGCTGAGGAGCGGCAGGCGTTCGATATACCGAACGACATCCGCGCGAAACGAGTGCATAAAACGTGCCGAAAACGCCCGGAGCGGCGTCAGTAGCAGCAATAGCGGCAACAGCAGTGGCGGCGGTGGAAAGTCGCATTGAAAAGCGTCCCCGACGTGGTCCGTAAAGGGAGGATCGATGGTGGTGAGCAGAGGTGTCGTTTCGCAGCGTCGGGATTGGAAATCGGGTATCCGGATTATCCTTTGGCATCTCCCGGTATATCACTGCGAGACGCGGGAGTTAGGATAGCAGTGGCAGCGGCCGGGGTGAGGGTGCGCGAGGAAAGGCTGCATCGCCGAGGCACGGCGGTAGCAGCTCCAGGCGGGGAGGAAGAGAGGAATCCTTTATGATCGTCTCGAAGGAACTTCGCGACAGAACGCTCTCCCTCCCTCCCTCTCCTCCCTCCGCTCTACTCTCTCTCAACCCCCGTTTCTCCTGTACCCACCTCCTCGTGTCCTCCTCCTTCTCCTCCTTCACCATCGCCTCCTTCTCCATTCTGCACTACCTTTATTGGCACACCCGGTATAATAAGGAGCGAGTTTGTATTTAGTCGGCCATGCGCAGTACCGGCTGTTGGCGTATCATCGATCAGACCGGCGACTGACTATTGGACCAAAACAAGAGGATGAGAATGGAAATGGGAATAAAGAGAGGGTAACGTAGCGGCTGGCAGAGAGCACGACGGAGATAGCCGGAAAAGTAGGAAGGGCGGGACACGTCGTGCCGCGTGGGGCTGAGGGGATGTTGTCGCGGAGGGACGGGGAAAGAAAGAGAGAGAGAGAGAGAGAGAGATATTTCTAGCCGGAGCCGGTGCGTGAACACAGGCGGGCGAACAGGGAGGATTTCTCTACGAGGACGACGACGAGGAGGAGGAGGAGGAGCAGGAGAAGAAGGACGACGGCGGACGAGCCTATAGTAACTTGCCGTGGATTACCAATACACACACCGATGCAAGCCTGTAAAATCGGTATGACGCGAGGGGGCTGGAAAGGGCAAGCGGGAGATAGAGGTAGAGAGATAAATAGAGAGGGAGAGAGAGAGAAGGAAGACAGGGAGAACGAGCCTTCACCTGCTCACTTCTTGCCGCAACACTCGAGCTCGATGCCAGCAGCGTGTATTGAAACTGAGGCTGAAGAGTCCGCCGTCAGGTACTACCACGTACGAGGACCCTCGAAGGTCTATCTAACGCGCGAGCTTTTTGCTCGTCCGTCGTGGAAAGGCGAGACGGAAGAAGTGGGGTCGTGATCTTTTGGCCGGCGTTCCGGCCGATTTTGGACTTTTCAGCACGTAGTGGCTGTCCGCGGATATCTTCGCGTTTATCTCCGCGATTCGTTGCGTCACGACTCGGCCGAGGGCGAGTTAAGTCGCCCTTCTCGCGGCGCGCTCGGACTTTGCGGATTGACCATCGCGTGCGTCGAAGAAATGATATATTCAAACCTATATGGGGCGTTATAAATTATTATATGCGGGACTATGATTGAAGGATCGGGCATCCTCGAAGCGTTGAAGGGGTATTGTGTGTCTTAACGCACGTGTGGGTCGGAGGCGTGAATCGGCTTTAATTTTTCAAGCGTCGAAGACCGGAAATGTTGATTCAGTTCTCTAGAGGGCGAAAATTACGCGGTAATTTCTATATTTGATGTCTCCTCATACGGAACGATGTTTTTAAAAAAAGCACACTAAAGAAACGTTATCATCCAGGCAGCATAGCCACATTAGAAGTATAACTTTTCGTCTTAACTCGTACCGAGCGCAGAAACTTGCCATCACCATAAGCAGTTATCTGATGTTCATTAGGATAATCTTGCGATATTGCGATCAGCGGAATATCTCGGGGAAGGAGAGAAAGATACTCGGAAAGAATTAAGAGAATCTTGCTAATCGCGTCGCGCGGAATAGAGCGACGGCGAAAGAGACGAAGGTTAAGAACCGCTCAGCGCCGCTTGTTTCCTTTCTTCGAGATTCGAATTAAAGGACGTATATATACATGATGAGGCAGGGTGACACTGTCCCAAGGATAATTGGAGATCTCGTTACTCTCTACCGGTAACTTCAATTTACGATCGACCGATAATGAGATATCGAATCCTGCTCCTCTATCTCCGGGATCTCGCGCTCACTCCCCTCTCTCTCTCTCTCTCTCTCCCTCCCGCTCTCGCTTCCCTCTTTCCTCTTTCCCTTTCCTCATTCTGGCAGCATCTTAGCCGATATCTCGTAGCTCCTCCGGCTTATGCTCAAACAACGACGCCGGGGCCATAGCGTATTCGGTGTCTCTTAGACACTTATTAAACACCCTCTGCCTTTTCAACGAGACGATGCCAATGTTATCGTGTTTCGACGAGAAGAGACATGAGGACTCGTATGGCCCGCTCGTTTACGCGTGGCTAATATATCGCGGGCGATGCGCGATTTTCCCTCGTCTTCGTATTGTCGTGACGATAACGATTGTTAACCTTCGCAAGTAACGGAGCATTTATGACCCCAGCAATACGTTTATTTATAATATTACTGTAATAATTTTGCAAAATCGTTTCTTCGCTTCAATCGAACAGAACGCATATTCGTGTATTCGGGTCATTCACGGCCTTGCCTTCCCGTTCACGTCCTACTAATATGTTCGGCGCCGAAAAGTAACTAATTTTCTATCAGTGTAGCTTGAAGAAAGCGGTGCATTAAAATCAGCCGTTGTTGGCTCCTCTTCGTCGCTTTCGTTTTCATTTTAACGGACACGCAATTTTCACCGTTCAACTTGCGTCCAACAAAGTATTATTATTGTGAAAAAGAAATATTCAATATCGTTTTCAAAGAAAGAAGTACTGATTATAAATAAGACTCTTCGGGTTTGTCGGGGGCGCGCGAGGGCCGGCGTTCTTAGCGCGAGCGGCAGCGGGACGCGCGCGTCTCTGCCAGCGCGAAAAAGCGCGTGTCCGACGAAAATCTAAGCGGAAGATAATTTCGGGCTAGCAGCGCAAATTGACAGGGCGACGCGTTTCCATTCACTCGAATTACGCGCCGATTCTGCCGGTGACTTTGGCATTGTTGCTGCAAATTGGTCCACGCCCTAGCCTCCGGCCACCCTCTTGCGCCCTCGTGTACGCGCGCGCGTGCTTGCTCGCGGAACGAACGAACGGACAAACGAGTGGACGTGTGTGCGTGCGTTCATCGCGATTCTTTCTAAATAACAAACGATCACCGGCAGCGAGATAAGCGGAGCGCGCGCGCGCGCGAAAGAAGATCTGCGCCGGCCGATGGACCTTGGCCGGTCGGCGAAGGCAAAGCGGATTAACGAGGATTCGATTGGCCACGATGGGGGAGCCGATTCGGAACCGAATTCGGAGATTCGCCCCCCGTGTTCCCGCTCGTTTCCGGTTTCCGATCGTTTACGCGCGGCTAACGAAAGCGGGCCGGCGCGCGAGAGGGTGAAAATAAATAACGCCCGTGAGGAATCTTGATCTCTCGGTTTCCACGGCGATAATAGTGATAACGATCGAGGCTTTGTTAACGAATGAAGTCGTTTTGAGCGACGGCAGCCCCGAGACCGAGAGTTGACGGTTCCGCGACGTCCCGAAGTCCGCCTCTCTCTTCCTCTCTCTCTTTCTCTCTCGAGGAAGAGGAGAATCGGCCCCGGGAAGCGATCGACCAGGCAGTCGGCGATTGCACTGCGCGAGCAGCTCGTAAACAAATACGTGCAATTTGCCGAACAGCATCATCGGGCTTGTTACTCTCCTTGGCAACGTGGGCTCGTTACACGCGCGCCCGCTCCGAGGAGCCGACACGCGTCTTCGCCATAGGAGGTCGAGTCGCCGGGATTGCTAACAAGTAGCCTAACGGGCGTGAAACGTAGGACGTAGCGGCTCGCGGTAAGGTCGTTTCAGCGTGATACTTAACTACACAACAGCGTCGTGGCGCGTGTCGTGCGCGAGCAGCGAGCGCTAATTGGATAAAGTAACCGATCGTCCGGCGCTCTAATTAAGGGAGGATTACGCGGAGCGGGGAAACCGACGGCGCTGATCATTCTCTGGATATCCTTGGTATATCAGTTCTGAGGCTTACTTTTTAGAAGCGCAAATTCTCGAACCTCTTAAAAACTAGCTATTTCCAAGGAAATATGTAATAATTTTCGTAAGACTATTCTATATTTTGGTAGACAAGTGTTTTTGACGTTTGCATCTCTCCAAACGAATGTTAATTTTACACGTTCAACGAAAGTTTAGAGCCGAAAAACAGAATAATACGTCGGCGCTTTCCCTATGTTTCTTTAACGCGTGTAATGCCGCGGCGATCACTACTGATGACTGGCATTATGATGCCACCGCACCTCATTAAGTTACAAGGTATAATCAGTTGCATGTAAAAATTCGTTTCGGCTAGTTAAAGGGGAATAACGCGAGCGGGAAAACCGATACGTTAATCATCCTCTAACCCCGATGCAGCCGAATCGGGCCGTACGATTTCGATTCTCTTATTAGGTCGTTAAAGTATTGGAAATATTTCTTTAACACGTCGAATATATACCGCGTCACCGTTGATGATCGGCGTAATGATACCACCGCATCTCATTAAGTTACGTACAAGGTATGATTAATCATATCTAAAAAATTGTTTGTACGCGCCAATAGAGCGCCGATAAGACGAGATAAAAGAGACGTGCGTCTCTCGAGTTACATTTATTTGCCGTATTTATCTTCAATAATTCGATCGTTGATAAAGCGATTCTATGCGATAAATGGGAATCAGCTCGATGGTGTGAAATATTTTTAGCCTTTCGAAAGATTTGCCGGGACGTTTCTAACGTTAATCGGAGAGTTAATTAAGGAGAGTTGATCAAGGTGATCTTTCTCGTCCGTCGAATCAGTCCTCACGTTTTCTCGCATGTGCGATACGGGAGCGTCGCATCTGTTCTGAGTGAGCGTCGATCTGTTCCAGGTGTGGTTCCAAAATCGGAGAGCGAAGTGGCGTAAGACGGAGAAGTGTTGGGGCAGAAGTACCATAATGGCGGAATACGGTTTATACGGGGCGATGGTGCGACATTCCCTGCCGCTTCCGGAGACCATTTTAAGAAGTGCCAAGGAGAACGAATCCGTTGCACCGTGGCTGCTAGGTAAGGATGAGTCTCCTCCAACAAGTTCAATTAGCCATTTCGATAGAACGACTCGAGCGCTAACATCCCGAGTCGAAATTTGTAATTCTACGTTAAGTCTTCAAGTGGAGAAAACAGAAAGAAATTCTCACTTGTAGCAGCAAAGGAGCGCAATGAATGCTCCTTTAATGCTATATAAGGGAATTTAATCCTCCAGAGCCTAAATTTTAGTTCTACATTGAGTCTTCAAATGGAGAGAACGTCCCCTTTGTAGTACCAAAGGAGCACAATAGAACACCTGGGAACACTTAATGTAGAACTAAATTAGACTTAAACTAGGACTAAAATTTCGACTCGGGGCAACACGTGTCCTCAAATCTCCCCTTAAACCTGAGCTGAGAATTAGTCGATTATAATCAACGATCGCTGGTCACCGATTGGGGATTGGATAAAATTGCATCGACGCTGGTAACTTTGCAACACAGACGAGTTGTGATGCGGAGTTATGAAAAAATCATGTTGTAGAAAATAAATTATAAAAGCTACAAAATATATAGAGGCCATTCGTCGCTTGAATTCAACGTTCACGGGGGTTTCCCCTGTCGCTCATCGATTATTTCGCTAAACGCTTGAAAAGTTCCCGGAGGCGTTTAATCAGTGCGATTTTATCCCATCTTGCGATGCATCCTGGCGAAAGTTCAGCGATAAACGAAGTCGAAGTGAGAACGAGACCGGAGTTTATCGCTGATCTGTCGAAATCAGAGAAAAAAAGACCCCACCTGCCCGCCCCGACAAGAACACTCGAGTTAAGACGGCCCTAAAAAAATGTCGAATATTTTTTTCTGTCCGTCTCTATCAGCTCAATCATCTAAGACAAGCGGCTTTAACCAAGATTTCGAAAATAATCAAGAACTGATTGACTGTGGACCCGTAGGGATGCATCGGAAGTCGCTCGAGGCGGCGGAGCATCTCAAATCCGGCGGAGAGGACAGCGGCAACGACCATAACGGAAGCGGAAACAGCCCCCATCATAATCATCATCAAGGAGGACCAACCAGCTCGGAGAGCGGACAGGAGAGTCAGGATGGTATGGGACCTTCGTCGTCCACGAGTAAGTCTTCGTCTCTATTACGACACTGTACGTCGAGCTTCGGATAACGACGTCAAGTAAATTCGATATCGGACAAATATCAACGAATTGAAATGAGATCTTTGCTGTCAAGACAGTTACAATACGCTCGTTATATAATCTGCCGGAGACAATCAGTTCGAGCAATTCAGCAGCGAATGTACAAGAGAGATATATAACATTGACATATCGCCGAGATAATAATATCTTGATTGTAACTCGAGACTCCCAAGTTATCGTTTCTGTTTGCAGAATGATTATCATTTTTTTTTTCCGAACGACTCTTGAAGAAGCTCGCCAAACTGAAATTGGCGAGCGTTACGGCCGCCCTCCGTTCCCGCGGACGGACACTTCAGCCACGCTCATACGTGTGTTCTCGTGATTTCAGGCGTCGTGCAGGATACGGAGCAGCTGAGAAACGAGAGTATCGCCTGCCTGAGGGCGAAAGCGCAGCAGCACCAGCTGCAGCTGAGTCTGCAACCGACGTCGGCGCCGCCGAGCGGCTCGTACCCGTCGGCGCCGCAGTCCAGCACGCTGCACGCCTCGGTTTAATCGCGATCGCGCCGATTCCGCGATACTTAATGACTGACAGTTCCGCGTACGATATTTCCCCCTTTTCGCCGTTAGCGCATGGAGCTGGCACACCGGGTCGTCCTGTCGGCCCGGAACGGCCAAGCCGAGGATCCCCGCGGGGATCTCTCGCGGACGAATCGGCAGCACCGATCTCGATATCAGTGATATTTTTTTAACGGGTATCTCCTCACGCCGCCAGGACGGGTCGAGGCTCAACGATCTCTCCGCGGTGTCACTGGTGGAGATTAGCTCCCGATTACTCCCTCCGTTCCCGTCGACCTTCTCCTCCGGATTCAAATTCTATCCGGAGCGATCGGAGATACACAGCTCGCCGGCGGATTGCTCCCGGCAGGGAATTATTCGAGATTCCTATCGCTCTTGATTCGTCCCCGCTGATTGATCAACCGGCAAGGAGCTCGCCGGAAGCACGCTCCGTAGTTTGACGCGCTAATTAGAACGGTTTACTCGCGAAGCGGTTAAATGAGACGACGGAGGCGGAAGCGGGACGTCACGGGAATAATCCGGAGCTGGTCTCGCGTCCAGGAAGCGGCGGCGATCGTCGTGGCGATCGCGCGAAGTCCTTGCGGCGAGGAGCGTCGTCCCCGACGTCCACGTCCCTCCGTCGCGGCCGCAGGGTGGACCGTGAAGGTCGCGGACGCGCGTACGCGTGAGCACAACGAAACGTGAGCGAATCGTCCGGGCGATCGAGCGCCCGTCTCGCATCGGTCTGGCCGAAGATGTGCGTGGGTCTCGACTCGTCGCGGATTCGCCCAGAAATCGATCCTCCGCAACGACCTGACGAATGTCTCTATGTACAATGACGAATGACGACGCTCGAACGGCGCCCGCGTCTCGGGACGAGACGAAGCGAAACGCCGGGCGGAACGAGCGAGCGCCGCGGGAACGGAACAATGAAACTAATTGTTAAGCTTAATCCTCATCAACGAAGCAGTAGCCTACCAACGACCGGTGCAACGTACAATGAAGAATCATCGATCGAGCAGCTGCGGATGATCTCGTCGTCGACGACGGCCGTGCGCGTCCTCTTCGTAAGGAGGAAGATTTCTCCCCGAGGAAGGTCGTCGGCGAAGGTCGAGGCGTAATTACTCGGCTCGGTCGATAAGTCGAACGGACTGACGGATGAAGAGCGAACGGAAATACCTAATTAGGAGCTATAATCGCTTTTAATAGCGCGATGATGCGTGTTTGTGTGTGTGCGCGCGCGTGTGCGTGTGTACATGTGTGTGTGTGTGTGGATCGGTGCGTGTACATGTGCGTGAGAGAGCGAAGCGTGTCAGGAACAATCGAAGAGATCGCCTTCCGAGCGTCCACCAGCAACGAATGTTGAGCAACGCAGAGGATGAGAGAAATAGAAAGCGAGCAACCGCGGGATATTTAGCAAGGTAAACGGATCATATAGACACACATCGAAGAAACGAGGTCGAAGACTTCTACTATACATACATAAAAAAAAGCTCCCCTATATAAGACTTACAAGTTTAAGGCAATACGCAAGCATCGAAAGCTGATTCGACCGCTAAATCTGCGTGTGATATAAAAGAGAGAGAGAGAGAGAGAGAGAAAGAGCGTATGTGTGTGTGGGTGTATTTGTGTGTGTATGTGTGTGTGTGTATAGGTGTATATGCCAAAAGAGAAAGAGAGAAAGAAAGAGAGGGAGAGAAAGAGAAGAGCAAGCGAGAGAGAGAGAGAGAGAGAGGGAACGCGAGAGGAGCATGCGAGTCAAAGATTTATTAGCGAAGACTTCCTATATCCAAGTACTTAAAGAGAAACGTAACTGTTGTCAAATGTGCAATATATCGATATAAGTTCTAGCTCGGTAAGATATACTTTACTAACAGATACGTTCTACGCGAGGCGGCCGTGACGACGACGGCGTCTCGTCGGGCGCGACTGTCACGTTAACGAATTCACGCGACCGACCACCATCTCGTAAGAGCTTCGCCGGTCTAATTCCCTTTTAATCCTCTCCATTCCCATCGCGAATTCACCCGCGTTATTACCGCGCTGCGCCGTCGTCTCGGCGTCCGCCCGCTGTATATAAATATATAAATAAAAAAAAATATAAATGAGATATAAATATATATATATGTACGGATATATATATATATATATATATATATATATATATGAAGAGAAAACAAAAGATGATATTAAAACAAAACACGTGGTTGCGAGATACGCCGAGCGAAGGTCTTTTCGCGAGTTCGCGCGTTCGTGAGTTCGCGAGATCCTCGAAGGACGACGGGACGAAGAGTATTTTTGCGTTATTGTACCTTCTGGGAGAATCTTCGTGCATTTCTCATCACTCTCGAGGTCTCATCGTCGAGATCTCCGCGGAGATTCACGAGCCAGAGTAAAGCCTGAATCGATCGGCGCTATCCCAGTAAACGCGGTGACGTATTGAAAACGTCAAGTGACGTACTAACGACGTCACAGGCGTTATTATTACGTCACTATGCTAGGGCACTGCTAGGGCACTTTTAACTTGCTCTTTTCTACCAATTGTGCAGTACTCATCTAGAGCTCCCTGAAAGTTGCCCTGGGGATTCTTTAACTCGATGTATCAAGTTGATCATTCGCCTCTTCTCCGATCGTTCGTTTTAAAACACGACCGTATAAACATCGGCGGAGCAGTTAAAAGACCATTAGCGGGCGAAAGAACTCGTTCATCTCCTGGTATATAAGCGGTCCATTAGGAAACTGTTAGGACGTCCATTTGCGAACTTAATTAGCGATATCGCTCCGCCTTCGATCGGACGGTTCGAGAGACATGCATGATTACTTACGACGCGTGAATCTCCGTGAAACGAGACGACGGGATGAATCGGATCTTCGCTTGCTCTCGAACGAGATCTCTGCGAATAGCCGCGTGGCCGATGATCGAGCGAAGCGTTTCGTCTGGCTTCGATCTACCCAGTTATACGTACACGTAACGTAACGCACTATAATTTAAAAAGAGACTCGGTCATAGAGAACGTGGGTGGTAACTACACGTTCCATAAGCAAGAGAGAAAGAGAGAGAGAGGGAGAGAAAGAGAGAAAAAATGAGAGAGAACAAGTCAAGAATAACGAAGTGGATACCGCTGTTATTGTGAAGATACTTAACGATAGGCTTTGGATCAGCGATCGCTCTGTATCCGAACGCCCCAACGCATGCATAGTAGTCGGCTAGTATACGTAATAAATAAAGTTTCTGAACAAATACACGTTTTCATTCACTGTTCCTTTGAAATTTCTCTTACAAAAATATTTCACCCTTTTAACCTCCTCATATGCCGCCCTCCTCCCAATAAGCGAGAAGCCATTAATACATACACTGAGTATACGTTTTGAAAATATTGCCCTGTTTTCAATACTTATTTTCCAGGTGATGAATGAGCGCACGTTAATGCGTTTCTCTTTTACTCAGCTTGGAAAGCCTCAATATGGAAAGAAGCACATTAAAAGATCGATGTATTTACTCGCGTGCTATTTTAAAAAATATGCAATGTCAGTGTTAAACGAATTATATTTTGTATTCGTGGATGAATGTACGTTTACACACTTCGTGTAAATTTACACAGCACCGTACGTCTTTACTACTCAAAAATATTCAGTACGTTTATACCACTCGTATGTACTCGTGTGCGATTCATTATAACCGTTTCGTTATGTTTGTTTTTACGGAAAACGGCCCCTTTTTCAACCTAAAAATAGGGTCATACTCATTCAGCTGAAAGTTGGTTATTTGCTTTGTTGTTGAATTGTACCGCTTGAGGGAAAGACTGGCTAAATTTGAGAATTTTTAATTACCTGACTTATTGTTGAATCTACAACTTCGACTTGTCCATGAAGAGAGTGGCGGCTCGTAGCGGCGATTCTGGAACTAAAAAAGTTTCTCGTAGCCTTTAGTCAAGACTCAAACCTTATTTAGTCGACAGTCGAATCTAATTAACTGAGACTCAAACCTGTTTACAATGAACTTTCTCATATCACCGTTAGATGGTGTTAGATATTCTGTTAACGGTCGATTATTAATTAATGCAAATAGACATCGCTCCTAATGGCCTTATATATTTTCTTAATAAAAATCGATTATATTAGCCAAATAGGGGTTGCTTACTATATTTTCTTTCTAAATAAAAAAGAATCAGCTATTCTTCCAAATTGTAGTTCTAAAGTCTCCGCTACATGTCGCTACAATTTTTACCATCAAATTGAAGTTAAGCGTGATTCAATGTCGGTCATATATAGATCGCTTTATGATATTAATTAACTCTGTTTATTTATATATTTGACTTACTTATATTTCACATTTGAGAAGTTTTCCTATTAGGTTTGAAAAGTATTAGTGTCGGTAATAAATTTTCACGTTACCGTTACTTTTAGTTCCATTCAAATAAGGGTGTTTTTCTCCTTCGGAATTCATCATCCATTTTGGCATCCCCTTAAGATCTTACATTTATTTGATATATTTCTTCATGTATATTAGTACATGTGTGATATATTGACGATATATATATTTATAATATATTAACTGGACATTGATTCTCTTGCAGAGTGGCTATTGCTCCACAGGAACGAGAACATCGATATACTGGATATTTACAAAAGTACAAAAGCTTACAAAACATCGACTACTATACAGCGAATTCCTCTAATCACTTTCCGCGTATCGTTCCTTTTTTTCCTACACATCGGAAACTAGCCTTAATTTCTCGGGACGCGGCGCGGAGCCGACGCAACATGCTTTATCTAATTATTCAGATCGTACTCGAGTCGTGTCTATCTCTTTCTTCCTCGGTTTCCCTAAAATACAAAAATCAGACTTGTAATTTCCCGGGAGCAGTGAACCAATCACAGTTACTGCTCGTCTAGGCCCTTTTCTCGCGCGTCTATCGGTGTTGACGGATGTATACAGTACGACGGCCGAGAAATCATTTCTCTCGTGAACGACGCTGCTCGTAATTCACGAGGTGTCCATAAAATTCTTATCAAACCTGCCAAAGACGAAAGGTGATGGTCGCTCGATGGGCGAAACGCAATTAAAAAGATACGATCACAATTGTCTTGTTAACTCCTACGAATAATAAATACATCTTCGATTGTGTACGAGTCACATGCGCGAATTGATATTTGCATTGCTTTGATTTCGATGCAACGGGCAGGAACTTTATGGATGCCTTGTCTCTCGTCTCCCACCGCCGATTCGCATTCGACCGTCGAGGCGAAACGCCATCGTCGTGGCTCAGCGAAGTTCAGTTGTGCTCTCGATCGCGGCTCGATCTTAATTAACGAAATCGACAAAATATCGGCTATGTACAAAGTAAGATTCGTCTCGCGCAGAGTTCACTCGCACAGTAATAAAGCTTTGTGCTAAAAGCGGTCCATTAAAATTTTGCGTTACTCTAATTTGGGAAATATGTTGAAAAGTACACCGGAAAAATATCGTATGTAAAAATGATCATAAAATTCTGTAATGTTGTATCATATCGGAATTATGATCGAAATTATTATTAATATAAAAAACGTGTTAAAAGATGTACGAAGAAAATATTATAATAAAAATTACCAAAAAGTTTTATAATGCATCTTATTTTAAATTCTGTGCTGTATATTCAAGAAATTATGACTGAAATTATTATGCGTGTTGTAATCTCAGTTATAATTCCGGTATGGTCCGACATTACAAAATTTTGTAGTAATTTTTACTGCAATATTTTCTTCGTGTACACAAATGTATGTTAATTTAATATTATGTTCGCATACTTTTCAACACATTCTCCATGTTAAAGAAAAGTTTCAGTGAGCCGTTTTTAACGCAAAATTTTTTTCTATGCGATGACCAACGTTATACAATACACCGTTAATATACAATATTTCGCACCTTCTTCCCTTAAAAAATACACCGTCCGCAAGCTCGGAGCTTGCGCGACTCCGTCGACTCGCGCATCGTGTCGTCTTAAAATTATCGATAATTGATATGCGCCTGCCGCAAAAAATACGCGATGAAAGATAATTATTTCCTCGAGACATATTGCGCGCATTCGCAAACTGTAATATGCATTATTAATAATTTTACATCACGCGGCTACTCTTGACTACTTTTATTCATTGCACAACAATTTGCGACGAATGCAATTTTTATCCTCTTTTTGGTCGAGAGATGATATCTCTAAGATTGTTCGCGAATACTTTTTACCTCGTACACTGTACTATATCCGATTGCATTGTTCTTCTTTTTCATGGACACCCTTGATTATTGCAAATTGGTCGAAACGTCCCAGCAAACGCCAAGTAACAGTAACATGGCATCGATATGTTATAATTTCCAAGTCAACAATATAAATGCAATATAACACATGACTGTACATAACAATCACATTGTTGAACGAGAAATTATAACATAGGTGCGATGTTACTGTTACTTGGCGTTCGCTGAGTTGTTAGAAATTTTGCAACGAGCACTGCGCTTTGCTGCAGTATCTTTATTTCCGAAGGATGTGAGGTTCATTATGTTCAAGAATAAGTTGAGCCCTCGCATCAAACTGTAACTGTATTGTACACGAATCCTTTAATCAGGGAATCAATATCTGTAGACCCGCCCTCAAGCTTATTGCAAAACCTTTTCCGTAGAAACGCTAACACAACGCAAATTCCACATTCCACGATCGAGTTTTTTCTTCTCGCTAAAGCGTGTGGCTCTTCGTGCAAAAATTCCATAAAAACGTGCGGAAATCGGAAATCTCCCCTGATAGTTTGACGTAGAATCCCGGCAATATGTTTATAAAAAATCCCCTGAAAAATTACTACGCAACATTAACGCTATATCAAATTCCTGTAGGCGAACTGTTTAACGGCGACGTACGGCTCGTCGTACAAAACTTCTACGAAAGTTCACGCTAAGACATTGCGCTCTCACTGTCCAATGCACAAATACGCCGCGAATAATGTCGTACGAATACCTTCGTAGAAAATCTTTAGGAACGAAGAACTCCGTTCTACCTACGCGATCGAAACTTGCACGAATCGAAATCGTTCACAGCTTTTCGCATGTATTGGTAGAAATATTATTGCAGAAATGCGGCTTCGAGTCAAGGTCTCTTTTTCTGTGGTCTCGAGTTGTTTGTACGAAATATTTGTGAACAGCATTGGGGAACGCGTGTGTCAGCCGCACGTGTGCGTCGCATCGCTGAAAGCTCGCGTTGAAAGCTCTCTTAATAATTGTTTGAATGCCGAAGAGTACCATCGAGCTTTTCTTTTCAATCCAGAATAATGTCGAAGTGATAACTTCTCTCTCTCTCTCTCTCTTTCTCTCTCTGTCTCTCCCCTTCCCTCCCTCTCTTCCTCTCTGATTTACTGATATCGATCGGCGCTTGTCCAGAGGTTTTAGTGACGCTCTCGAGAATCTTCACGGTGAGTGCTGTGCCTGCGAGATTCTTGACCGCTGGGTGTGACCGGTCGTCGCTTCGACCTTTTGAACTTGGCGATGTCCTCGCCGAACACGTCGCCGGTACGCAAGGCGGATATCAGATCGTCGAATTCGCCCTTGTTGTCGCTCTGCCCGTTGCCGTTCGCCTCGTTCTTCTTGTTCAACGATATGCTGTTCAATATGCCCTCCCGCGAGTTCTTCCTCTCCATTGTTCTCTTCCGCAGCTGTAACAGTAATTTTCACATTATAAGAGATGTACTTTTCGTAAACTGTGCAAACTATTGTCTTCGATCAGCATTAAAGGACAAAAGAATTGTGTATTAAATTATTAAATTACATTTCTTTATGTTTTACACACGCTCACATATATAAAACGTCAAAACAATATATAATTTAATAATTTAATATATAATTTTATATGCGGTGGAGAATTTAGAGAAATATAAAAAAAAATATTAATTACAAATATATAAGTTTGTCGGATAAAGATAATTACGTGAGAAGTTTTAGAGGTAACAATATGTTATTAATGTAATATACACGAGTGTTTATCGATAGTCAGCGTTTACCTCTTGTTCCTGTTTTGCCCTACGTTCTTCTTCTTCAACTTTCTTCCTCATGTTCTCCACGTCTTGTCTCGCTTCGGCCAGAGCTTGCAGGAAATTCTCAAAGATGCCGAAGAATTCATCCGGTTGGACGCCAGCGGAATCTTCGCCGAATAACCTAACCGCTCGATCGAACTGTTTTGAAAAAAAATAATTAATATAATTAAATTTTCCACCAAGTGTAATCTTCAATAATGAAAGATAGAAAGATTTTCTCACCCTGGTTTTCATGTCTTGGAACAAGTCCTCCGCTTCGGCTAATCTACACGTGGCTTGCGCCTGGAAGTCCCTCATCGCCGGTAAGAACATATCACCCTGAAGCACTTGAGCTTGACCTCGATGGAATTCTGAAAGAAACACAATATTCCGGATTAAACATGAACAGCACGGACTGTAGAACAGAAATGTTCTCGTTATCTCTTCATTTATCCTCAAGTATTACCTTCGCAATCGAATGTCATATTTTTCGAAATCATTATCAATTTCACAGATTCGCACGAACGTGAAAATGACAAACATCCATATAGTTAAAACCTCTTTATGTTTTGTTCAAGTTGTTCAATCCAATATTTCTTTTACACGAGTAGCGTCTATAATTTTCAATTGTACACGGAAAATAAGAAGTAGCTCCCAAGTAAAAATTCTGTCCGCATAATATAACTGAAATTTAATTGATTTTGCTCGTTCGTTTTGTCCCTGTAGTTTTTAGCTCTCATTGCTCAAAACTAGACAAGTGAAATTGGTAAGTAAATTGTTATATAAACAGCTAATTCTTTTCTTCCGTGTAATTTTCGAATAATTTTTCCTTACCTATTTCTCTTTGAACATCCTGCAGTCCGTTCTTCAAGTTGGCCACTTCCTTTTGCAGATCGGCCATGCTGACTCTGGCGGCGGTCCTGACATGCGGCATATCCTCCTCGATCTCCAGAACCTCTCGGAATCTAGCCTCGAGGATCTGTACGAGATAATGCAGCAATGTCGTACCCTTGGAGCAAGAGGACTTCGTGTCAACTAGACGATTCAAGGAAGCCAGCCGAAAGCCGCACGCGTTGCCCCGCGCGTTCCCGCGATTCACGTAATTCCCCAACGCCAAGACCAATTCCAGGAGTTTCCTGAGTCTTCGAGATCTGGCCACCTGCCGGCTTGCCTCCAGAACCGCTCGCATCCTCGGAGTCAGTTCCGCGATGCTGGCCGCGAATTTCTTCTTGTAGTGCAGCGAACGCAGCCTCTGCTCGTAATGCGGCACCCTGAAGATAAAAATTCGTATTTTTTTCATCAACACGCCTTGCGAATTCGAAATAACTCGCACAAACTAATCAGCCATCGATCGAAGCAACAATCGCAATCTCAGTTTCTAAGTTTAAATCTAACCAACGATTAAATTTAACTAATCGTCGATTAGTTGAAATTTAGCTCAACGAAATCCACCAATAGTATTGATCGGTTCAGCTAATTGGGCAACACGATTGGTCAATTCCGTTGGGTTGATTGAAGAGGCGCGAACGTATTCCAAGACGTGAAACCCCCAAAGAGAGAGAATATTTTTTCATCTATTATTATATACATAATTAATATATACAAGTCGAAAATTTAATTGTAGTAGCGCAAACAAACGCATCTCACTTTGATATTTGATACAGGAAGCAATCAGCCCTGCTTTGTAAGTCCTTCTGATGCATGTCCAGCAAGGCGGCCTCCTCCGAGGACGGTATGTACTTCAGCAGCTGCTCCACCATATCGATGTGGAGGATATTTTGCTGATCCATCGACAATATCGTCCTGGTGATTTCGTTATCGGTCATCTTCAGCTTCGACAGAAGTATCGTGCAGTTCTGCGCCCTCCTCGAATCGATCACCGACATCGTCTTCTTATTCTTGCCCAACGACCTCAGATCTTCCGTCGAGCCCTCTGTAGACACGCCGTTCTTCTGATAGGCGCAGAAGATCTTGTCGATGGACTCGAGATCCATAATGTTGTAAAGCTTCGTGTCGTCCAACTCAGACCATATCGTGCCCTGCAGCTTCTGTTCGGGTATCTTCGACCAGTTGAACGACTTCAGGGGATTGCTCGGCTGCGGCACGTTCTTTATTATCTCCACCTGCGAATCATTCCGATTAATTTTTATAAGCGATCATTATAAGCTGTTCTAATTTTTATCGTACGTTGGTAATAAAAACATTCATTGAAATTATAAAACAGTTCCTTATAAATTCTTACTAATTATAACTCATATATGAATCATATAAATAACATATAATTAATATATAATAAAATATACACACACATCCGTATGTGCGTGTGTGTACTAATTCTTTGTATTTAGTAATATATTTGTTAACAAACATATAGCGAATTAGATTATCGATATTTTCATAATAAATAAATGAATTATATATTTAATAAACAATCCTTTATAATAATATGAATAATAATGGATTATTATTATTATTAATGCTATCATTCGTCATTAATCGTTATTATTATTAATCACGAAGTAACACGATGTAAAAAGTATAACAGTAACCTTCATTGGCGGCGGTGCCGCCGGCATCATACAAGGGGGTGGCGGAGGTGCTAACGGAGGCGGTGGTGGCGGCGGCGGGGTGGGTTTGGTCTCGACCTTCTCGAGCACTTCATCCTCGACGATTTTCAAAGTGGCTTTCGCGTCGTCTGGCAGACTTCCCGATGCCACCAGCTGTTCCAAACGCTTCCTCTCGGACTTCTCGTTGTTTATTTGTCGCGACAACGTCTCCAGGTTATCCTGCAGCTCGGAGATCCTCTGCTTCGTCTCTATGTGCATCGACGTCTCCTTTTCGAGGCGCTCTTTGATCCTCGCCAGACTGGCCTCCATGTCTTCCTACAAATATCGCACATCGCTCTCTCAATATCTTAATTATATATATTTTTTTACACTTTAATATAATATAATTTATATCTTAATATTTTAATTAACGAAATCAGACATTATTCGAGACTCCGAAGTTTGATCGTAACCAAGAGAAGTACTGAAGTCGAGAGAAGGAGCAAACGAAAGATCGGCTGTGGTTCTTGAAGAATGCGTGGCATTGGGACGATAAGTTTGCAGAGAGTATTGCGAAGGGTTCAAGGCCGGTGTTTTTTTTGTAATTGAGCGTAACTTTATTCAGTAATGAATTGACCGTTTTTCGAGTAGAGGTCATCGGAAGAAATGAAAAAAGAATAAAACTGTTCCTATCTATGGTGATGTCGACTTTGAATTTCTTTGAAAAATCCCTGCGAATTTATCGAGCAACCCAATACACAGACTTCCGATCGTACTTTTTCTTGCGTCCTCAGATCCAATTCCTGCTCCTTCTTAGCCAGCCTCGTGGACATGTCCGAGTTCTCGCGCTCCAGCTCTTCGGCCTTCTTCCTCGCCGCCACGAGTTCCTCCTCCTTCGCGAGAAGGTGGACAATCTCCTTCACGTTGATCTCGATCGGCGCCACGTCGGGGTTCCTTATCGACCCCGTCTCGTTGCTCTCGGACTGCAGGACGATCTGCTGCACGATCCGGTCGAAGAGCAGCCAATGCTGAGGGTGTGAGCCGTAGTCCACTGGAAGAAAAACGATCGACGCCACGTTAATAGACGTTATCGCGTCATCCGAGGGACGCTTCCGTTGGATGCAAGGACTCACGCGGCAACAGGAGACAATGCTCGAGCAGGCTGAGGAGATGGGGATAGGCGGCGGTGTGGCTGAGCTTCCGTCGCAGGAGATCGAACATGGCGGTCGCGCTCTTGGTGTCCACATGCTCCTTCTCGAACTTCCTCGCGAGCTCCTTCTCGTCCTCGTTGCGCACCATCTCGAAGAAGTCGAGATGCCTGTCGAGCGTCTCGTTTTCATACTTCCTCAGCTTCTCGATGATCGGCTGGATACCGAGCATCAGCAGCTCGTACCGCAGATGCAGCCGAAACTCGAGCGTCACCTGGCCGGGCCCATAGTTCAGCACCGCGTTGATGAACGACATGATCGCCGTCTTCAGGGACAGGTTGTCCTTGTAGATGCCGAAGTTCTTGTCGAGATCGTTGATTATACTCTGGAAGCGCGTTCTCTCGGAATGGTACTGCTGGAAGTGCAGCATGGCCTCGAGGACCTTGCGATGGCCGCCCGGCACCAGGCAGACGGCGCCGAGGATCTCCAGCACGGAGATTTTCGTCTTAATGTTCTCGGTCGCCAGCGACTGCGAGATCGTGTTGATCGCCGTGGGATGAGCCAGCACGTGCGCTCTGCCGTTCTGCAAGCAAAACGGAAGAACGAGACGGTCGATTGAGGCGGTGTTTCTCTCGGCATTAATCCCTGCGCGCAACAAACGCGCGTAAGACGATCTTTTCCTTGGACAGTCTCACCGCCGAATCCTCGATTGAAAGATGAAGCGCGGAAAGATCAAAGTGCGACAATGCCGCGAAGCTCACCGAATTGTTCATCAACGCTTTCAGGCATCCGATGACGCTGGTGTGGAGATTGCTGTTCGCCGCCTCGGCGTCCATCGTGCCCAGAACTTGCAACAGAGCGTTCAGGCCATCCAGCTCTATGAATCTGAGAACGAAGCTGTGCGGCTGCGTCCTCAGGGCGGTCTTCAGGGCCTCGACTTGGCGCATTTGATTCGACACTTCCTCGCCTTCCTCCGGGAAAGGACTCTGCAACACAGTTAACGGCATGCTAATGAGAAACATGCGAGGGAGAGAGAGAGAGAGAGAGATGGAGATCAAGCCGGAAATAAGCCGATGAGAGAAATAGAGATTCTCTCCTTCGATCGATCTTCGTAACCTTCCGGCGAAGTCGTTAACTAAGCTGCCTTATTATCGCGAGTTTACGAGCGACGGGAGCATCGCGGGAACACAGAGAACTCCGTGGTTCGCGAGTCGTCGTCCGAGCTTACGGAAGCTGCGAGCTCTGTTTTCCTACGGGTCTTTCGCGTCCATCTTCCAGCCTTCATTCCAGCCCGATCTCTCTCTTTCTCCATCTTGCGCTCTCGTCTCGATCCGATTCTCGATAAGAGAGACCAAGAGGAAACGGTCGTAATAAACGAGAATGCAAAAATAGAGAAAGATATAATAAGGTTTCCCCGGTAGAGGAGAACGTTTGTCGCAAACGTCAAAGTTCCTCCATCGAGTCGTCAAGGACACACACGTTCCGGATTTACTTCTTTATGAAAAATGACTTCCATCCTGTGCGAGCCGTTTCTTCAGTCAGCGTGCGCGCACGTCTAGAAAAACCCGCTCGACTAGAATCCGTCCGAGGCGGATTGATACGTTCGCTGCTAAAGTTTATTCGGGGAACCCACAGAACCCACTTTATATTTTCTTCCTGTGTAAGACTTTGTGATTTGTAGGAGTGCGGCAATGTGGAGGACATGGAAAAAGGACTTTTGCGTATGCGGCGTTGGTTTCTCGTGAGGGATTGTTTCGTCACACATGTGTTAACGCATTGTCGATCAACCGGGTAGGAGGAAAAAAAAGATTTTGATGGCGTATCTAATCTTGGTTTGGCTGAACATGTTTTGCCGCTGTAGCTAGAAATTTACTGCTGTAACTAAAACTTTGGTCACTGTTGTTGTATGCCATATGCTAAACTTTCAGGTATCCATGTGTATAACGGAATTCGGCTAATATATGTACACCTGCAAGTATGGCTGTAGTAAATATATATTAGATGTTAGGCACCTATACACCCTTAGCAACAATAATTGAAGTTTTGGTTGCGACAGCGAATTTTTGGCTGCAATAACAAAACACGTGCAGCTGAGCCATGATTGGAAGCAAGATCGTGATTTTTTCCGTGTAGATCTATCTTTTTCTCGATGACCGTTGGTCGTTGGACCAATCAACCGAAACTTTCGACGAGTTATGGGGAACAATTATTATTTTTACTTTTAGATTTTTATCACGGTCATGTATCGATATTCGCTGCGAGTACAGAAAATCTACAATATCCGTAAAACGAATTGCAAATTTCCGATACCGGCGGTGAATATCACGGAACACGGTCGTCTATATCGATTTCTACGCTGCAAGAATTGTAAAAATTCAGATCAAAATACGTTACTGCGTGCAATTTACGAAATGTATAATTTTCAAAGCCTGGAAAGGCGCAGCTCGCGTGATTGGCGATCTGTTAACAAACGTGTTAAATGCAACGCGCGTTCTGCACGCGCGAAGATGATGAAATGGATCGTATGTGTGTGTGTGTATGGCGATTTCGCCAAACAGTCGTCGGTTTACTCACGCTCGCTATCGTCTTCAGTCTGTTGATGTAGTCCTCGGGATCGCCGCTGAGATCGGTGGTCCGCAGGCCGCCGTTGTCGAGCGTGCCGTTACCCTTCCTGGAGCAATATATCTGCCACTTCTTGTTCGCGGGAAGTGCCAAAACGGCCTGCCGATTGGCCTGGGTCAAGTCCAGCTCGTCGACCAGCTCGAGAAACATCTTGTTCAGCTCCTCCTCGGCGGGCATCGGCAAGGTCGGCGTCATCGCTTGTAGCGTGAGCGTGCCCGTGTGTTCCACCACGCAATACGTGATTTCCGGCGGCTCGTCATCCTGCGAAAAAGGAGCAGGCCGATCAGTCCGACGTCCTGTCGCGCAGGATATTACAAATCGCCAAGGTAATAGTGAATCGACGGCTAGGCGAAGGAGAGAAACGCGGCGGGCACGGTCGAATGCATTTTCCCCGCTTTAATCCCGTACGCGTATGAGTGAGTTATTAGCGCGGGTTTTCCGCGTTTTCTCCGTCCGTCTGAAACCTATGTAATTTCGGGCAACGGTATTTTATACCCGACGTGACCGTCCGAATGCAAATGAAGCCGGCTGCAATTTGTATCGCGCGCCGACAAAACGGGAGAGCGTTTAAAAGTTCCGAAATGCCGAAAATAGTAATTCCGTAGAACAATGTTATGAAAAGTAACTTTGCATAATTATTATTTCCTTAATCATGAATAAAGTTGTAGAGGATAACACAATATTATGAGACCCAAAGGGCTCGTGTATTATTTCCTCCGGAAGATGTTGTTTTTTATCATTGTTATTATTATTATATTTAATATGAAGTTATAAGTTTAATTATAATTCGCATTACGGTAGATCTTGGTGAGATGGAATAACGCGTAAATAACATTTCGCCATATCATCCAATGTAGATCGGGAAATGCGTTTCATATAGCAGTTACACGCATACGGACTTTCGGGGGAGCAGATAGCATCGCGATCAATAATGCAACCGGCTCGCCGCCTGCCGCAATTCTTCGCGCTGGAATTCGCTTTCGATTAATAAAACGCGGCCCTCCATCGGCACGTTCCCCATCGAATCGTGTCGAATCGATATCGCGCGATGACTCGAGCGAATTTCTCAGGGAGACGAGGGAAGAGTTACGGCAATCGAGAATACGCAAGCAGCTCTTGACCTTATTGTGAACACAAGTCCGAGCATTGAATCGCCGGGTCTGGAGAGAACGCCGCCAATGACCCGCGTCCACAGTGTGTACAGTAGGTGCAGTGTACACGTTAAAAGCGTACACGTTCATTCAAAAGCCACGGACGCGCAAGTAATCACACGATCGAAAGCGAGGGAAATACAGGCTCGGAAAAAATCCGACCTTTTCCATTTTTCCGCGAGTTTTTTCTCGGTTTCTTCTCATCTATCTGGATTCAAGACTAATTTTCCGCGCCTACCGATTTTTTCTTTTAATCTTCTATTTTTTTTTTTTTGTAATTTATATTTTTGATTTTTAATTTAATAAAATTCGCACAAACTTATATACATACATTGCAATTAAAAAGAAAAAAATCCCACAGACGTAGCTAGATCTGGCATTGCTTCGAGATTCTACGAGAGCAAAATAGGCGGCCTCGCGTTTCAGCGCGCGAATGTCAAGTTACCGTGAGAAATATCGATACCGTTCCAAAGTGTTGCACGTTTTAATGTCGCACGGGGAAAACGTCACGCAACGTAATATCGTACGCGCGATCGCTTGAAATTGCGGTTCGAAATCGGCATAGTTTCGAGGCGGTCAGTTTTCGATGTCGCCGCGACCGCGCTGACGGGGGAGCGCGCTAATGGAATCGCAACGACCGACACGAAGTACATTGTGTCCCCTATTCGCAGCCTCGAAATTATACCGGTTTCGATCTCCTCTCCGCCTCGATCTATCGTCAGCGCTGTACGCGCGTTCCTGTTTCGCCCTACTCGCAGACCCGTGCCGGAGCCAGTTAAGAACCAGCAGCAGCGGCAGCACCAACAGCGGCGACCGCAGCGGCGGCGGCAAAGGTCAGGAGACCGGCTTGGGCGCTGAATTCCTGAGGTACTTTCACACGTGACTAGGAAATTACCTATTCACGTACCGGCCGTCGATTTATTCCTCGCAAACATCATCCCCGACGATCGCCGGTGCTAAGAGGTCGCGCGCGTATACGCGCGCAGGAATGCTCGAACGAATCCGCCGACGCTTCTTTATCCGGACTTTTTTTTTCGCTTCTTTTCAGTACTCTCTCGAAAATCAGCGGTGTTGCCCGCGGTGCATTCGCGTGAGAAACCGCAATCGGCGGTCACGATGTACTCGTAAACAAATATTACATCTTGGAAGCGTGCCGCCTACCGAGAAGAGAGATAAGTGGAAGTCACGCGGAGGAAATTTCAGTTCTTGTAACAAAAATAGAGTTGGAGGAAAACTCGGTGATAAGAAACGTTATCTTCGTCATCACGACGGCAAAACGAGTTCGGCTGAACATTCGGCTGCGCTAAAACCCGGCTCGGATAACCGAGCACAAATGACTGAGTGGAAATCTTCCACGGGAGCATCTTCCTTCTTGCAACCGAGTTTTCGTCTGGTCTCCGGATAATAGAAAATCACTTACATGAGACGAGATCTTCCGCGCACATCACAGATAGCAGAAACTTTTAAAAGGCTTCTTAAAGACATTTTAACTCAAAGAAAAGGTGGAATGGCAGGACGTGAACAGAAAGGTGAGGTCATGACCCAGGTGGAACAGAAAATGATAATGCTGAAATGATGAGAAAGTGACTATAAAACTTATTTTCGGGTCATTTTCACGTCACCGTCATTTTCTCTTCTACCTGGGAAATGACCTAAATATCTGAATATACATTCTCTATGATCAAGACAAAGAAAGAGCACAAAATTATAAGGACCGATAAGCAATAATATACTTTTCAGAAATATTATAATAACATATAATATACGTCTTGCTAGAGTCATTAATGATTTCTAACTTTCTTTACGAAAGCGAAAGATGTTTAAAAAAATATCCTATTTTTTCAAACGTCCCTAGATGTATCGAACCCTCTAACGGTGAAGTAAAGTCAGATTAACTCCACGGCTTCGTTTATTTTACAGCGTGCATGCGCTGTTCCTCTTCTCAAGGAATGTTTGTCATGTTATTAGTTATCACTTTGCACGCTGATCACATGAAAAATGAGGGAAACAGAGCACGGGATCGGACCCGACCTCATTTTCCTGGATACTTTGAGAATCCACCTTGCCGTTAGAGGGTCAAGACGTTTTTCAGAAACGTCTGCTGCCTGGTATTTGCAACAATCGTGTAATTGATATATTTTAATCGTATGCAGAGAACGTAGCGGAGAAACGAGGTAATCTTTGCAGACGAGTGGCCAGAGGTCAGAGACGGCGAACTTTGCGGCGGGAGTCCCCGTGGCGATCTCGCGGCGAGAGAAAAGCGATCCATGGGAAATCTGTTTATCTGCTTGCGGGTGGATACGAGATTGGGTAATACGAGGTGGGAACACGTTGCCCAGCTCGTATATATTATCGCTCGGGGACTCTCGTTCTTGAGAGAGTCGCCCGTTTAAGAACCCTGAGAGAATTTTACGCGCGCCCGCCGGCGCGTCGCGTGGGAGGGCCGGGTGTGCACGTGACCGCCGCGATACCGTGGCGTGTGCGTCGTCAAACGTGACACGCGACCGGCGAGCACGTGAGCGCGCAGGAAGGGAAAAAAGGTTAAACGGGTCGCGCTGGTCCGTGCCGCGAGGCGTTAACGATGATTTACCTCGCTCGCTGGTACAGGAACGGCCGGCCGCTCGTGCGACGGCCGATGCGAAAAATCCCGTCCGGTGACTGCGGACGGTAACGAGCAACGCGGCCCCGCCCGCGATAACGCGGAATCAACCTTCGGATCGCGACGCTGTTGCCTTGCTAATGAAATCGGCTAATGACGCGGGAACGCGCAGGTGTGCAAATCGCCCGAGCGAATGTGTGTTACACGTTCGGTGCCCGATACTTTTCGCGCTCCACTCGCGTTCTCGCGCTCGTGCCTCGCATCGTCTCGTATGAACGGAGAACGATAATGCTAAAATGATGAGGAAGTGACTAGAAAACTTATTCCCGGCTTATTTTCCCGTCATTTTCGTGTCATTTTCACGTCACTGTCATTCCCTTCTACTTGGGAAATGATCGAAATATTTGAATATTTCTGTACGATCGTGGCAAGGAAAGAGCACAAAATCCATAAGGACCAACAAGAAGTAATATATTTTTTCAGAAATATTATAATAATATATAATATACGTCTTCATTCAAATAAATATTATTTGTTTCAAGTATTTTATAAGTTTATGTATGCGTAAGTATATCATAAGTTTATCAAAAGTACCGAATTCCTTCGAAATACATCCCGGATCCTAGTATAAGTTTAATACTTCAATGAAAAATATGAAATTAAAACAAACTTCGGTTTACTTTACTCAAATTAACCGAATTTAACTTTCCTTCGATGAAGTTTAAGACATTCTTGAAAGGAGAATAAGATTCTTCTTTTGAATATATGATAGTGAACTTTCCTCAACTTTGTGACGAGTATATTCGAAGACTATTATCGAGAAAATATTCTTCGTTGGAGATAACCATTATTTAACACGTTCATTGCCAAGCTGAAAATTGGAATTTCGTATTAAAAAAATTTGTTTATTTAGTTTTTATTGTGCTCAAAATAAGTTAATATATTATTTATATGCTTTTATTATTATGTACATAGGATTTGTGTACTCTAAATATCTATTACGCGATAACGCGTGATCGGCCCGTTTGATGAAGAACTCGCATCACACGATATCGCGTGATTGGCAATGAACGTGTTAAAAGAAGGAAGATAAATTGAATCGTCGCTTTTCTTAGCAGTAGAATGATATCTCTCTCTCTGTGTACTGCGTCGTTTAAATTAAAGGGTCTTTAACATAGGGTTTAACAAAATTTCAATTCAGGTATTGAGATAAAAACGACGCGATTTCACTGCGGGCGCATGTAAAACGGGGTCTACGCCTATCGGCGTCGCCGTCGCAAATAAGAATTCCTTTTCTCGACCGGCTATCGCTTCCGCAAGACCAGCATAAATCCATAAATCCCAATCAGATGGTGGTCGGCTGTAACTATGTCGGTTGAACTCTCGCGGCCCAGACAGGCTCATAATAAATTCGCGATATTCAGGCGCGCATTGGCGCCGGAGAACAACGTACGCGTTGCACGTCACAATTACCGTGGCGTGCGCGCCGTTTAACCGGTGCGGCTCGGCCG